AAACGTCGTTTTAACCCCTTTAGTCGGCGCGCTATCGACCGCCGTTCGAATTAGTTCGGTGCAAGTCATGTAAATTAGTCCCGAGTCGTAACTCAGGGGGTGGAAATTGGGGAAAGTGGTGGCGCAGCAGCGGTGGCGGCGGCGGCGGCGGCAACGGCAATGCCGGGGCCAAGACAGCCTTATTGCCGGTGGCGACGGGTTAGAATGCCTGAAATATTACTATGCCAATCGGGTTGTCCTGGCGCGATGGCGGCGACGGTCACAGTGCGATTAAGTAAGTTTCTTTCTCACTGAATAAAGGTGTCCCCAAGGTAACAAGCTGAACCAAATTGCAGGGACAGTCCCCACATATTCCCAACTGAATTATTCACTCCAGTGAAGCCTCATGATTCACCAAACGCTAATTTTGTACGAGCCAACAATGTGTGGTCTATAAATGTTTATTTAATTGGAATTCTAAAGCACTCTATTTATCTGGTTTGGTCCTGTCGTTTTGAAATTAAAGAAAGACGAATACGATATTTTATCGTGCTGAATAAACACAAGCTTGTTCTACTTTTGCTTCATTTATGATAAATCATTCGATTGAATTCGAGGGGTTGAGAAGAAACCTTACTTATTCTATAAATAGATAAGCCAGACTCTTCAGAATGGAAAGAGATATTGTTGTGTGAGGTTTCTGTTTGAACTGGGATATTTGTACGCTTACTCCACACGAGCTATCGAAGCTTGTGGTGTTTCTGTCTGCAACGTTGAGTCTACATAAGTATATGATAACCCATGTAACTCAATTTCACGAAAAATGGGATATATCCCGCTTCTAATGTTTTTCAAATTCAATTTGATCCGCTTTTACGTAGAAAAGAAGGATTCTGTTAAAATATCTAAAAATTAGTTGGATATACAGATCTGAAAATAATTTTAATGGATAATCAAAATTACGTAGAACGCTCGAGCATAATGAGCAATGTTGCAAAAAATTTTGACGTTCTAGCAATCAGCTTGAGCGTCCTAATTATTTTTATGGTTTAACAAAATTATTTTCAACTCTGTGTACGTACATAGCTAAATTTTTTAATGCTAAACCGTCTCTTAAAAAAATTTTTTTTTTCCGTATCTGTATTTTTCCATTTCCACAAATATTTCTGTATATCCACAAATATTGAATGTACCGAGAAATTACAGTAAATCTTGTAAAGCGCGATAAGAAATTGCTTTTCCCAAAATAGCAGTAAAATCCTCATTTTATCCCAGACCGCTCGCGCTTTATTCGTCAATAAATTTATGATAAAGCTGAAATTACGAGCGATTGAGGTATATGGAGCGTATGCATGCGGCATAATTCTGTAATCGATCTTGAATTATTGAGTGGAAGTAAAACTGCAGGGCAGAATAATATCGGCGAGGATTTCACCGCGGGCAGCAAGATAGAAATCGGCTTTAATTAATTTCATTATGCGGCTCATCGCCGGATGGCCGGAATCTCTACTGGAATGAGGATGGAAGAGTGGTGGGTTTGTGGCAGCGTGGTGCAAAAATGCAACACCACTTTTTAATTAATAAATGTCATTTACGAGGCGGATACCCGTCCGTTACTCCGATTGATGCTATTCAAGACTGACAAGTTTTCGTCCTAACATCCCGCTCTGTGTTCGACGTCACGTCGGAATACGCCGTTCTCACAAATAATTACCGCGATCCGTAAATGGACGTGCGCAAATTACTTTAAAAGAACGACGAAGATAGATCGTTTCCGTACGAATATTTTCGGTCCATACAACTTGTGACGCTTATCGCCGTTCATATCACGCCGTAAATCAAGGAACTTCCATAATGTATGATCCTATAAATACAATAACCAAAACCTCCGATGGTTGTACGCAGCTAACATTTACCATTACCGATTTGCGCGGCGGCGCGGGCGCTTCCACTATCCGCAAAACCATCGTTCGCGGTCATTTTGCGCCGTTATCGACAATCGCCTTACTCGCGCCTCTATAAATTCTCAGTCACATCGCGTGCAACGTACAGGTATAGCCGAGGGCAACGCAACGGATCCGCAATTTTCTCCGGGTTCAACGCACTCCGGATGAAAATCTTTATCCAAGCGCGGCTACGGGAAAATTCAGAGGATGCGCGAATAACAATATACGCCACGCTTTCCACCAAGTATACGGATGTTTGGATTAACCTTCACGAGCCAATACTCTTGCTCGTCCAATATCGAAGACAGTAACACTCATTCAATCTGTCGCGAAATAACTATTATTTTTCTCGAATGTAGGAATCGATTGATTTTCGAAATACATTAGCATATTACATTCCCATTCCATTAATATTTTATAAGATTATTATGACTTTAGCAAACTCGGAACAATTTTGCTGAAGTATCTGAAAATTTAGCTGGCTACAGATTTGAAATTAACTTTATGAGATCATCAAAATAATTTAGTAAAACGTTCAAGCTAATTGTTAGATATCAAAATGTCGTTGCAGCATTGCTCATCATGCTCGAGTTTTTTACACAATTATTTTAATGGTCTACAAAATTATTTTCAGATCTGTATCTTAAATTTTTAGTTACTTCAACAAAATTGTTCTTTCCGTTTATACAAAAATGGAATAATTGAAATGGTATTAATTTTAATATCTTTAATAAAAAATATGATTTCTAATTCAGGAAACAAGCTGATATTATTTATTGTCGTTTTGACTTTAAAGTAACAATACCAGTTTAATTGTTTGCTAAGAATCTTTAATTCTATTATCATTCTAAAATTGAATACAATGAAGAGAGAGAGAGAGAGAGAGAGAGAGAGAGAGAGAGAACACTAATTTAGTAATTTCAAAACCATTCTATATCGGAAAGTTATAAGTCGATATTTCTATAGTATATATAGCTCGACGTTCTATATACAACTGGCGACAATTTTCTGAACAACTTCAATTCCTCGTACGCGAGCGAAGTGCACGCCGATGATGTATCGCTTTATAACAAAGAGGATTTATCAACGTCAATTTGGCGTGCAGGAAGGTACGCGTCTTGCGGCCAGCGACCCGCTATAACGAAGAAACGAGCAGCGGTCGAGGGCAGCCGAGCGCTTAATTTTACTCGCGCCGTTATCGCGAGGACGTTAGAACAACGAGTGGGGTTAATTAATTGCGGACCTTTTTTAATTTGTCTTGCTAGACGCCGGGATTACCGCGAAATTTTTAAACCGATACATCCAGTCGAGAAGCGGAAGCGGTAAATTGAAGATACTTTGTTGAAATGCGAAAGGGGACTTGGGAAAAATTTATTTAACTCGGAAAAGTCTGCGATGATAAAGAAATGTGGTGTAGATAAAGTGTATATACTTTAAAAAAGACTCTCAGCTCAGACAAGAAGAAATTTATTCCATATACGTATATTGTCGATTAGTTTATATTCGTTTTCATACATTTTTGTACACAAACATACAAGACGACTTAGGAAGAGTTTACGTGCAAAAAAAATCTGCGAAGCCTCATTGCGAAGTCACCTTGAGAAACACTTGAATCATCTTGAAAAAGAGCGCGCAAGATGGGACGCAAGATTAATTGTCCCCGCTCTAAATTAAGTTATTCACTTTGTTATGGTACCTGAGCTATCGCGCTGCAAGATACATGGCGCGTGATAAAGTAGTAAGAGAGCGGAAAAGAGAGAGAAAGCAGTAGTAGGATTAATGAGGAGAGGGAGAGTTTATGATCCCAACGCTTAAAATTCGTCATACCGGTTATATGACTGCAAAGGACTGTAGAATTACCTTTTCAATTCGGTATGTAACTTAATCACATGCTCGAGTACTTTTTGTCTGGATGAATTTATTATTTCTGTTCGTTTTATTCGGAAGTAGGCGTGTGATTAAGCTTAACATTAGCAAACGCGTCCTGATCATTTTGACGGATATTTATGCACGTACACACTATTTGATACCAATAGAACAATGGTAATTTCCTCAGTTAAATAACATTTGGTTATATATTTTTAACTTCCGTGTGTGTTAAAATGTAAATCAATCAAATTGCTATGGTTAAATTGCTAGTTTCAAAGTAAACAATATCCATATTAACGTTTACACTTAGTAAATAGTAATCTAAATTGGAATTAAATTTAATACATTTCTTGAATGAAATTATTTAACTCCATTGTTTTAATCGAATAAATTAACGACACATTGAGAAGCAGTGCCGACCTATAGAAATGATTAAAAATTACTCTAATTGAGTATAATTTGACATTATGAATTTAGTGCACGAAGTTCAAGGTGTCCAGTTGTTAATAAATTGAGAGATATAAAAACGAAAAAGTACGGCAAAATGACTGACGTATAGCCCTCTTTCGGGTTAATATTATAATAGAAACTATTTTTGTGTGAGAGAAGATAAATAAAAGCAATAATAAGTAAAATAACAACTTATTCTCCTCAGTTTCAATAAATGTAAGAAAAGTATACAGTAGGATATAGAAATCAGTGCGGTACTTATTGTGTAAAAATATTATTCAGAAGATATTTATATGAGGTTCGACTTGCTTTTGTCATTCTCAAAAATAGAACAAAAATATATTCATATTTTATATCTACATCACGTACTTTTGTGAATAAATATGACAACCATGGATCGAGCAAACTCAATCGGCTCAATCATAAAGATTTATTTGATTCATCACAGTTGACCAGCCGGAAGGATCAAAAAACTTCCACAATAAGGTGTTATAATAAAAATTAACTGCATAATGACCAATCAAAAACTTTAATAGAAACCACTCTCTGGAAATAAAAACAATATCAACGTTTATGTCTATTAAATTAAATTAAGACCATGTTAATGATTATTGATGAATTTAAATGAAATAATAATATCTAAAAATTTTTACCAGCAAATTTTGTGAAAGTCATTTCAATATTTTTTTGCAAATATTTTACAAAAAGATAGGAAATATCAAACGTTATTTGATCAATGAATTGAATAATTTTCAGTCAAACCCTTGGAAGTGAAAATAATTGATGGAAACCGACCGCTATCGGCGGGCAAGAAATACGACCTGGTATGCACAACTTCCGGTTCCAAACCACCAGCTAGCGTCACCTGGCGGAGAAACGGTCAACGCTTATTGGATTCCAAGGAGACCGTAAGTGTGTTCCTTTATAGAATAATTTTCGTTCTTACAGTCAACGTACATTCCACCCAGCCATTCTCGGCAGTGCATAAACTTGAGTTTGTAGTCTTGAGTAAGAGAGAATCCTTGATCCCTTTATCAAGAATATCACGTTAATTTATGTGAATACTTAACTCCTTTAAACAAATGGAAGATTATGATATTTTTTAAATGGAAATGAATCTTAATGGAAGATCATGCTAAAAAATACATTATAAATCTATTTAGTCATTTTTTATAATTTATAATATATTATTTTTCTAGTTATGATGTTTTAAATGCAGAGTTGTGCACGTTACCTCAAAAAAGTAACGCGTTACTGTTACCGTTATTTAAAAAAAAAAATTACTCGTTACCGTTATTTTGAAAAGTAACGATTCGTTATTTTTTCGTTACTTTTTTTTATAATTCTAAAGTAAGTTATTAGATTTTAAAATTACATTAATTGATAATTAATTTAATACTAAATGTGAAATAAATATTCAAACTTGAAAATCCTTCTACTAACTAGTTTGTATATAGAGCAAGCTTTTCTCTATATTAAACTTACCTACAGTTTTACTAATTTTTTATTTTACTTAAATAATATCGTTCTTTTTATGTACTCATTTATATAAGAATTTAGATTAAACAGATAATAGATTAAACGTTAATATTCCCTGATGGAAATAAATCGATGAAATCTTTATCAATAGACCCCCATTTCAGTATAATTCATGAAATGAGTCAATTGATAGAGATTTCAGCGATTTCAACGATTTATTTTCATCAAGGTTATTATTATGTGTATTTCAATATTTATTATCCGTACCAAAAATTTACAGTATATATGTATATGTAATATGAATTATATATTTTTAACATTGACAGTGCCTATTAGAACACAGTATAAGTACTATATAAATACAATATACTGTGTATATAATAGGAAACTGAAGTAACGGTAAAAGTAACGGCTAAATTCGTTACCGTTACAGACAGAAAAAAGTAACGATCGCGTGTTACTGAAAAAAATAACGAAAACGGTAACAGCGTTACAAGTAACGCGTTACTTCTCAACCCTGTTTAAATGTAAACATAAACAAATATAAAATAACCAAGATAAACTATCGACATAAATGCCATGTTAAGTTATTTTATCGTTTATGCTCTGTAATACATTAAAAACGCATCTGTCACTGCGAGAAAGTTTTGTCCTACGCGTGTCTAAACTTTCGAAATTTTTCTTACATATTTACTGTGTTTTCGCCAAACTGTAGAAGATATCACAAGAGTTCTAGAGAGGTATCTTTTTCCTCTATTTTTATTTAATTTATATTTAACTTAAGAAAAGAAACTTATCTGTGTGACATATAAATCGAAAAATACGAGGGGAACGTGTAATTATACCTTTTTAAATTAAAATTGATACATTTTAGTCGTGTGTTATTGACGATAATTCACGGATTAAACTCCTCATTAACGAAAGGCGATTAATCTCTCACTATACCTCGACTCGTCTGGTTGACATGTGTCTCCTAATTTCGCGGCGAAGCAATTTCCACGTTCAATTTCCGTGGATTAAGCGACTCCAAAAAAGACATAGGCTGATTACGTGATTGACTGTCGTTTACAGTGAAGCCTACCGTGCAGGGATTATGTTTAATTGATGGCAAATAAAACTATTCTACAGCTATAAGTCGAGATATATTCCTATTAAACATCATTGAGATAAAAGGGAGGACGATGCGGCAATGATTTAATAAAGAGATTAAACGTTAAGAATATTCAAATCTATTAGGTGTTAAACTTAATTCCTGCCGTTTTTCGTCTCCAAAATTGATTTGTTTTTCGAAGGGAAATACCTTAGTAATTTCCTCCATTTTCTACTTTATTACTAATTAATAATACTTTATTAATAATACTTTGATTATGGTATTCATTCATCTTCCCTTCGAAACAAATCAATTTTGGAGATGAAAAACGGCAGGAATTAAGTTACACACCTAATAATTAAATTGCACACGACAAATAAAAGTAAATTGCTTATATATAAACTATATTTATTTTAGTTAAGAATATTCTTAATGTATTATCCACTTTTAGTTGCAAACAAACTATCTGTTCTCTCAACTGATTCTTCTCGTTCATTAATCTCATACTTTCTGTTTCATTTTATTTTATCAATCTTTCTTTTAGTGAAAACTTCTCGGAAAATTTTTTAATTAGATTAATTCCTTAATTAAACATTACTTTTCAGACGTGAAATTAGGATAGGTAACACGTTAGATAACTAGAATCTACAGTTTTTTCTCTTTCTCTTTTTCTAGAAAGAGAAAAATATTGGGACAGTATGTTGGCAATGTTATAAAACAATTGTTTATTGAATAGTTTGAACGTTTTATTCACAAAATATGAAATTCCCTCCGTATAAATCTTGCATCGATTTACCATGGAATTGAAAATAAAATGAAAAAAGCTCGAAACTGTTGTATAACATTGTTACACAATCGAGTCGTATGCTGTGTTCTGATAAAAAAGCGTAACATTTCGTCGTTACGGGATTAATCAACGGCAATGAAGAAGTACGTCGCAAATATCGATAAATCTAATTACGAGCAGCTCGAATAAAGAATATCTCACCGGGGTGATTACGATGATACTTGATCTATGAGAATGAAATCCTCTCGTGCGCGTGCATTCCCCCCC